TCGATCAGCCAATCACATTCAGCCTGGTTATCGATCAGCCAATCACATTCAGCCTGGTTATCGATCAGCCAATCACATTCAGCCTGGTTATCAATCAGCCAATCAAGGTCTGTGAATTAGTTCAATCCTTCACCACCAGGGGGCAGCACCAACAGGGACCAGATCAGGGTTCTGTTTCATTTCAGTTTAATTGAAGCCTCTAATGATCCAACAGAACTGAAGTTCAGAACCAGTTTCATCCCAAACCAGCGACCCGCCCGGTTCTGAGGTTCTGCTGGTACCTGTGTGCAGCTCCACCGTCTTGATCCGACTGTCCTCCAGTGGCAGGAAGCCGCCGCCGGCCTCCCTGGATCCTTCGGTGTCGATGTCACAGGTCATCACCAGGATGGGGCCCACCCCCCCCTTCAGGTGGATCTGGATGCGGTCCTGGATCAGAACACGGCGTGAGTTCTGATGTTCTACTCTGACGGACGGAGCCAAACAGAACCCGATCCCGACCCGCTCACCTCTGTGGGAGCCGGAATCTCCAGCTTGGTTTCCTCAGGAGCTTTCACCACCATCAAGGTCTGGTTCTGGAAGGTCTTCAGCCGCTGGAGGTCCTGGTGGGTCACGTAGGCCAGCGTGAGCAGCTGGTTAAAGAAAACCGAGACGGCCGGTTCTGATCCGGTGGAAAGGTTCAGGTCTTATGAGGTTCTAATGGTACCGCTACGCTTCGTTACGGGTCTGATCCACCATCAACTGATGGACCAGAACCGCTCGCCACAGCCAGAACTCTAAGGATGGGTCTCTAACTAAACACCAGAACCTCTAAAGGAACCGAAGATCCAAAACCATCAAGAACCCTGAATGAGTTTTTAAACAGACAACTGGACCCGATACCGAGCCGAACCCCCTGACCCGTTTCAGGAAAAGTCCTGATGAGTCTGACCTTCTTCTCCTCTTAGAATCATTTTACCTCCATGAACATTTGGAGGTCCGGTTCAGAACATCAGTCAGAACCGATCAGATGATTCACCGACCCAAACCATCAGAACCTCCCAGAGGAAAAGGATATGCAGAGTTTTCCGGGTCGTCCGTCAGATCAAAGAGCTGCTGGGCGCTGATCCGGATCAGAGAGTCCAGAGTTTCCTCCACCAGCTTCAGTTCAGACGCATCAGACTGGAACCAGTTCTGACCCAGAAAGCTGGAGGCTGGACAGCTGCCTCTGCACACAGACAACTATGAGGGAGGGAGGGAGGGAGGGAGGG